ATATAATAAGGCTGAGAAAATATTCTCTTTTTTTTAATATTTATTTATTATGTATACAATGTTCTGTCTGTGTGTGTGCCTGCAGGCCAGAAGGGGGCACCAGACCTCATTACAGATGGTTGTGAGCCACCATGTGGTTGCTGGGAATTGAACTCAGGACCTTTGGAAGAGCAGGCAATGCTCTTAACCGCTGAGCCATCTCTCCAGCCCCCTGAGAAAATATTCTTACCTAGTGGGAATAACTATTACAGATTTTATTTTTGTCTTTTATATTTTCAAATATATTTTCTGAGTTTTAAAGATGAGTCAGAGTCTGGCTGGCCTTGAACTCCTGGGTTCATGTGATCCCTTTTCGGTCCTAAAATGCTGACACAGACATACTACCACACACAGCTCTTATCCACACCACCTTTAAAACCACCTCAGTGCTTCCCAGATGGAGACAACTGAATTTTAAATATTGCAGATAACCAGATCATCACTAACTGTGGAAATGCTTTCGAAAACTTTTTTCAAAAAAAAACTACGAATTCCAAGTGGCACTTTTGAGACCTGATTTTCTTGGTATGTGTTTTCTACCCAGTTCTCCTGTGGCTGTGTCATCGTCGTCATTTCCCACAACTCCACAGATGTCTTGGGAAGGCAGCTACTGTGCTCACATACCTTCACAGTGAGCATGGCCAGTGTTAGAATGGTGCCTTCTGGCCTTCTCGCTTTGCCACTATGGACCTTCCCAGCCTCTCACTGCAGGTCATTTTGCTCACCGGGCAATAGCTGTGGAGCTGGAGACCCAGAGCTTTCTCCACCTGACCCCACGTGGAGTCATCTGCCATTTCCCCAAGCTCCAAGAAAACGGAGTGGTCACTCTTTTGCCAGGTCTTGTCTAGAGTAACGTGATGTTCCAAAATCGTGACCACAGGCACAGACATTACTATGCCTGCCCTCTGGGAATGTCAGGAGGAGCTTCTGATAGTCTGAGACGAGCAGCACATGGTGACCTCAGACAGTGGGACACTGTAGGAAGCAGAAGCTGGGGTGGAGGGGCTTCCGCTGTGATAGATAGACTGGCTTCATGGTACCTATCAACTGCATTTGCGGGCAACCATCATGAGCTTCCCTGGCTGTCTTTTCCAAAAAAGAAAACTGTTAATGTCTGCTGACCCAACCCTGGAAAATGGAGCATTCAGTTCATACAAAGACTCATCCGCCATTTCATCCATCCAGAGGCAGTGGGGAAGATGCCAACCTCCTTTGCATATTGCTTGTACTGGCAAAGCTGAATGCTAGGTGCCAGCTGGGTTCCCATCTGTCTCCTCGGGAATGTTTTGAGCATACTGCCTCTCCAGGGCCTATAATCAACTGTCAATTCCAGCGTATTCTTTCTGAACTTTACACAATTGGCCACACTCTCCTTGTCTGTGTGGCTCCAACACTTACTATATCCAGGTTCCCCTGGTGGCTCTGGTTCTTCTCAGCAGTGGTACAGCATGGGCTCTCCTAGCACCAAGGACAGCATGGACTCCAGTGACAGGAGGGTGTTCCCACATCACTGAGGCCAGGACTCCTTGTGAGGCCAGCTCCTACTTTCAGAGTGTCTGTAGTGCTGCCAAGACCAAATGTCACCTTGCAAATCTGAACTGGTGTAATAAGGTTTTGTCTTAACACTACCAAAAAAGGCATATTGTTGTCCCAAATTTGTATATTTGAACTGTTTTAATATCAAGCAACCTGTTGTTAGGATAGCATGAAATGTATATTTCAAAAACACTTAGTCAATGTATTAGTAACACTGTATACTGACAAAATGCCAAACCACCAAAAGCAGATAAATGGCAAGAATGCAGATAACCAAATTAATTGAAAAAGTTCAGTATTAAAATGAAATCACTTTGTTAAGTACTATTTAGGGGTACTGGAGAATTCATTTTAAATTTTAGAATAAAATTTTAAATCCACTGAAGCATCTTACCTGGTCAAGATGAGCTTCCTATGTAGAATAAAGAGATATTAAAGTCTTGGTTAATAAATATAGGGGAATGCCAGACACCCAGCTTATAGAACTACAAAAAAGGATGTTAGTGAAACATTTTTTTATTTACCCGAGGAAAAGACTATGCTCAGGAATGTGTTGAATCCAGTGATGGCCGCAATGTCATCCATACTGCTAGCAGCCACTAGCAAGGTTGGGATGCCTTTGTCAACACCGTACCCATTTTCTTGCAACAGCAGCATGGAGGGGACGACAACAGCAGGAGAGACAGCGCCTAGAACAAAGCTGAAAGGCAGGCTTTGAAAACCCATCCATTCTTTTCACGTGACATCATTCCACTTTTGAGTAAGGCACTGTGCATGTCGTTTAGCGCTGAATAAAAGTTCATAGAGATGTGTCTTAAAAAACTGAACTGAGCACAAATGCAGATGTCCCCTCTATCTGTGCACCATTGAAAATGAATATGTCAATACAAAAAGAAAATTCATAATGCACGTAGCAGACAACAGGAGAATCACCAATGGGTAAGAAACCGGGAGTATTCTAGCCAGAGGCAGATGAGGATTTCAGAAAGAAAACACAAGCCTGATGGTCCAGCATTGTTGCAGAGGATACTCTACACTTTTAAAGGCATCCTAACCACAGATAGTAGATACTCTAAACTTTTCCATAGCAGCTGCACTATTTCATAATCCCACTGGCAGAACACAACAGACTCAGACTCTCCACATTCTTGTCAATATCACACACATATACTGGTTAGCCTAATGTATGCACAATGATACATTTTTTACTTTCATTTTTTAATACTTATAGATGACAAGATTTTTAGTTATTTGTTGGCCATTTGTATATTTTCTATGGATAAATGCCTTTTACACACATACATCTTTAAAACAAACAAAATCCTCTTGAAATGCACAAATTATACATATATGTATATATATATTTCATTTTCTGTAGAACAGCAACAAGTAGCCAGAAGTTAAAATAAAAAATTTTACAGGAGTTTTAAAACAAAAATACTTAGGAATTAACTTTAAAAGCATGTATAATAGCTATAATAAACGTATTAAAACTATAAAACATTGATTGAAAAATTAAGTAAGACTCAGTTGGGCAGTGGTGGTGCATGCCTTTGATCTCAGCACTCGGGAGGCAGCACTCTGAGTTCGAGGCCAGCCTGGTCTACAAAGTGAGTTCTAGGACAGACTCCAAAGCTACAGAGAAACACTGTCTCAAAAAACAAAAAAACAAAACAAAAAGAAAGAAAGAAAGAAAACAAAGTAAGATTCAATTAAATATATAGGTTAAGTCACAGTCACTTCTTTTGATATGACAATATATATCACTTGGTGAAACCATTAGGTGTCTCCTGTGCTTAAAGGAATTAGACTTGAATTATGTATTTGGAAGTCAATAGCTTATAGATAGAATTTGAAATAATTAGACATTACAGAAGAATGAGAATAAGAAAAAAGAACTAATACTGGTCCTACATAATTCCTTTATTTAAATGCTAGAAGGAAAAGATATCTGTTAGGGCAAAACAGGAAGAAAAGTTTGCAAGTTAGCAACTCTTATGAACTGAACTCTTTCTCCATCCTCATAAATTCGCATGTGAAATTAACCGTCAATGAAGCTGGATTCAGAGACAAAGCTTTTGAAAACCTATTTAAAGTTAAATGTGGTCATAAGGGTAGAGCCAAATCAGTGAGGACCAGTGTTTCTCTCTTTTTTTTTTTTATTTTCTAGCTTCTGAATTTTTTTTTAGTTTTTTTTATTATTTATTAAAGATTTCTGTCTCTTCCCCACCGCCGCCTCCCATTTCCCTCCCCCTTCCGCAACCAAGTCCCCCTCCCTCATCAGCCCAAAGAGCAATCAGGGTTCCCTGTCCTATGGGAAGTCCAAGGACCACCCACCTCCATCCAGGTCTAGTAAGGTGAGCATTCAAGGACCAGTGTCTCTTAAGAACAGAAAGGGATCCCAAGGATGCCTATGAAGAGACACCAGGTCATACAAAGATTCAGGAAGGAGGTGATAATCTAGAAGCCAGGTAGAGGCCTCAAGAGAAATCAAAACTTCCAACATTTTCTTCTTGGCTTTCTAACCTTCAGAACTTTAAGAAATGAACACCTGCTGTTTTAGTCACTAATTATTTAACTAGTTAATAATGGAATTAGAAGGCAAGTCACATGTTAGGAGGAAAGGTTCATAATGTTTATACTAGATGAAAGACTTTGGTCTAGAATATAAATGTAGGGGGCTGGAGAGATGGCTCAGTGGTTAAGAGCACTGGCTGCTTTTCCAGAGGCTTTGGGTTTGATTCCTAGAACCAACATGGCAGCTCAAAATCATCTGTACTTCCAGTTCCAGAGGATCAGACACCTTCATCTCATGTGGGTATAGCAGGTATGTAAGGCCCAGATACATGCAGACAGAAGATCTACTCACATAGAAAAGATTATACATAATTTAAAATTCAGTAAGAAATAAAGGAACTTGATTTTTAAAACTATCAAAAGATTTGAACTGGCATTTTACTGAAGAAGGTATATGAATAGTTCCAGTGTATAAAACAATGCTCAGTGCCAGTGGTTATCAAAGAAATAGAAGTTCAAGGCAGAGGATCACTTCCAGTCTCTAGAAAATGTTGCATGCAAGTAAGCAGTGTCAGTGTAGAGGCTGTGATGCCCTGTGATCTTCCAGACCAAAGGTATAAACAAAAGGCATTTTACATGGGTATGAGAGAACAAAAATAAGACTGGGGTGTAGCTTAGTGACTGAATATTTGCCTCATATACCTGAGACAGTGGGTTTGATTTCCAATAGAGATATATGTGAGCATGTGTGTGTGTTATGTACATATGTATTGGGGTATTTCTATTTGACAGTGAGGATGCAATGCGAAAGCTTTTTTTTTTTTTTTTTACAGATAGGACTAGAATGTGTAAGCGGAGCAAGAGTTAATGAAAATTCAGGAGCTACAGACAGTAACTCCAGTCTTGAGGAATTTTGACATGAGGGAATAGATAACAGAGAAGAGAAATGTGGCCCTACATGAAGAGAAAAAGTTTTGTGTTTTTATCACTTTGAGAATAGAAGTAATTTTATTTACTTGTCCATTAATAAAATCTCTCATATATATGCAATACAATACTGTATGGAAAAGCAGTCATCTGACATACTGAAAGTCACAGGCACACAACACAAGAGAGGGGATAAGCTGAGGGACTGGACTATGTGTCACTCAACACTGAGGAACATTACTGTTTGTGAAACTGACAGCAAAATCTTTCTCAGAGTTTGGATCTTGCTATGAACCCTCATAGCCTTCATCTAACTATGAAGCTGCTTCAGCCTCCCTAGTGGGATTTTAGGAGTGTGCCACCATGCCCAGCTGGATCTGGTAGAAGTGGAACACGACTCTATCTTCCATCAATTGATTTTCAAGGATCCTAGTCCACCCCTGGTAAAATGATTTTAATGGAGAACTTGGCTATACAATATTCAGACTATCCAAAGCGTCAACAAAACGCACTTAACTGTGTAATTTCATGTTACAAGGGAAGGGAGAAAAATATTACCCTAATAGGAACCCCCATTGCCACGGAAACTCCATAAGGAAGTGGGAGAAAAAAGCAGCTGAACACGCTTCTACGAGACACGGACCAAATGACAACCTCAAACAAACTGCCTTCAGATGCTTCAAAGCCTGGAACAGAAAAAGTTGCATTTAGACAAATTTACAAAGGCCAACAAGAAAATAATCAACTAAGCGAACATTGTAACACAGCATTTCTTTGAAGGCTGAACACTTGCTAATGTGCTCTTACAGAGACTTCCAAGACTGACTTCTCCCTAATTAGTTCCACCTTCTTTAATATTCCCACTGCACACTACAGTGATATTACCCCATTGAAGTCCCCCCACCTGTTAGTGGTGAACTGTTTTTTTAATATTTATTTGTTATGTATACAATATTCTGTCTGAGTATATGCCTGCAGGCCAGAAGAGGGCGCCAGACCCCATTACAGATGGTTGTGAGCCACCATGTGGTTGCTGGGAATTGAACTCAGGACCTTTGGGAGAGCAGGCCATGCTCTTAACCTCTGAGCCATCTCTCCAGCCCCGGTGGTGAACTATTTAATTTAATAGTAATAGTAAAAAATACTAACATGTTACAGTAAAAAAATTAATCTATTTGTTTGAAAAAGAAATACTTCCCTATGTTGTTAATGTTTCAATGATGTCACAAGTGATAATTATTTACTCTCTTGGTACCAATTTCATTAAATCTATACATGCTTTCCACACTTGGTTCTGTAGCTATCATATCCATGATTAGTCCCCTTTCAATAATTCAAACGGATTTTTGACCTCCAGGTTTCAAAAAATATTTTAAGACAGCTTTTCCAATAATGCAAAGTTAATCAGGAACATATTTCCAGTTAGTGATAAGACAAATTATTGAAATTTTAATCTCTCTTTTAAAACAGAGAGACAAGGAAGCTTTTATAGGATTACCTTGTCCTTTCTTAACTGCAAGCAAACAGTCCCCACGGAAAAGTTTCTCAGTGAATAGTGGTCCTGCCTAAGGTGCATCTATTTCCAAGCATGTTACTGAGTTTCATCACTAATAGAGATCTTATAGTGATTTTTCTCTTTATATAAATAATGATGGCTGGAAATAGAAATTATGAAACCAGTATTTTGGTTAAGTCTTTGATTATTACCTTAGGTTTACATGCAGACTCAGACAGCTATAACAAAAATTGTAGTTCTTTTTATTTCTGTTATTTCTTTTTTTAAAAAATGGTTATTATTTTATCATTTATTTATTTTTACTTTATGTGCATTGGTATTTTGTCTGCATGTATGCCGTCCAAGGGAGTTAGATCCCTGGAAGTAGAGTTACAGGCAATTGTAAGCTGCCATGTGGGTGCTGGGAACTGAACCCAGGTCCTCTGGAAGAACAGCCAGTGCTCTTAACCACTGAGCCATCTCTCCAGCCCCTTCTGTTATTTTCTAATATGTAAAAGAATTTTACTCAAATTGAACAGGAAACTTACTTCTGTGTCCAGTCCAAGCCCAGCTCGTATTAGGATAATAGTAAGGGCAGTATTTCTTAAAACTGAAGACCATGTGGTAGGAATATGGACAAACTCATAAAGAAACGGGACATTCCTGATGGTGAAACCAGCCAGTAACATCCCTAAGAGGGGAGGGGAGAAAAAGAAAGTAGAAAACAAAGTATATCTGATTAAGTTAATGTTTCCAAGAGAGATCCACAGGACTAGGTTGCATCCAAGCAGAGGAAGTGGTATGGGTACAGGAATGTGAACCACAGTAAACAATTCAGTGATGCTGGGACATAAGGCAGCAAGGATGCAAGGGCAGACAATAGGCAGAAGCCAGTTTATGGGAGGAGTCTTCTCTTTGGCAGAGTCAGGGGCTCTGGGAAGCTTTCATAGAGGAATTAATGTAAGAATCTTGTAGTTTTATGTGCTGGTCTTGGTGAATTCGTGATAAAACAGGCCACAGAGACCAGTAAGAAGGACATGTCATTGTTCATAGAGAAGTAGGAACAGCCCAAGGTGAAGTTGTGGAGGAGGGGGTAAAGACTCAGTGAGTATTAAGAAAGGTCTGGGTACAAGGGTATCATGCATGTTAAATAATACTGAGATAATCTCTGCAGATGGCACTTTGACTATTTAGATGTATTGGTTACTTAGAAAACATCTGACCTCACAAAAAAATTTCCCACTAATTTTCCTGTCCACCTGGAGAGTCATAGAACAAAAGGATAAAGAAACAATAGATAACAAGGAGTGGCAGATGGGTAGACACAATGCAGATGCCCACACGGCGTATTCAACTATCAGAGGATATTAGTGCCCCATTCGTCATAATCGCCATAACATGTGCAACGCATTACCTACATGACATGTACAAAACTTCAGCCTTTTCAAAGTTTCCTTTCTTCTAGAATGCATTTTAAACTAAGCTTATTTTATTATTACTAAATAATAAAACAACACAAATCATATAGAGGACTTTCAAATTATTTTCAAAAATAGACTATAAAAAATCTGTGTGTGGAGAATAAACCTATATGAAAAAGTTATGTAAACACATACAGTAAATACACATAATTAGAGACTATATACACATTATAAAATAAAACAATGTATCCAGTCCAAGTAGAAAATGTTCAAAATTTACAAACAGTCAACAAAGAATACAGCTGATTATATACTTACCAATAAGAGGTGGAAGGGGGGGCACTATAGGTATTCTAATGACTTCTAAGATTTTCCCCCCAAGAAAGGCACTGTAAAAAATAACTAATAGTCCAAATAAATTTCCACCAGGGAAAACGTCGTGACCCATAAGGGACCAGAGTAGAATCCATAATATAATGAGCATAACTCCTGAAATATAAAAAATTTACATCTATATTTATGTCTATAAATACATGTGACCAAAATGAATTTTATCAAATATATTAGTATGCAGACTTATATAGCTGTGCACAGTGTAGATTAATATTGCATACTGTTATAGTTAGTTATTAAGATACATTTCAGAGTCCCTATCAGTTTATAGGACAAGTCTTAAGCAAATGATTTTTTTAAAAAGCATTTTAAGGGGGCCAGGTAAAAGTGCTTGCCATAAAATCCAATACTCTGAGGTCATTCCCTGGATTGACTGAAGGGGACAATCAGAACCTTCCCCACAAGACTGTTCCCTGACTCAATACATGTGCCATGGCACCCCTGTCTTCTCATTACACACATATATACACACATACATGCACACACACACAGAGAGAGAGAGAGAGAGTGAGAGAGAGAGAGAGAGAGAGAGAGAGAGAGAGAGAGAGAGAGAGAGAGACACTAAAACAAAAAATTTCAAGCTCTGTGAATTGTTTTCCTTTGTACCACTGGGAATTCAACCTAGGGTCTCCACATGCAAGTCAAGTACTCTACCACTGATATCCCGGGATTCTGTAAGGCACAAAGGCTTCTTGTAATATCTTAGTATTTTTCTTTTCTTTCTTGTTTTAAGGTAGGATCTGGTTTTGTCACCTAGCCTGGCTTCCAAGTGTCCTCTTGCCTCTACCCCTAATAGCTAGCACTATGGCCCACAACACAACGCCACATTATGAAAAAAATGTCCTGACAATGATGAGACTTTCTTGAGGTTGAAAACAGCTTTTCCAGGAGGAATACAAGCCTGACTGGCTGTGACACAAACCTCAACTTAATTCATGATCACAATGGCAGAGCAAATGTTTAAACAATGAGTACTAAAAAATTACCCAGGTAATATTTTTATAAGTCTTAGAAGGGGCAAAGCCTGAGGGAAAATGAACCTGGACACTAGCACTTCCATGGTATGGTGGTTTGAATAGGAATGGCCCCCAATAACTGATGTGTTTGAATGCTTGACCCATAGGGAGTGGCACTATTAGGAAGTTTGACCTTGTTGCAGGAAGTATGTCACTTTGGGGGTGGACTTTGAGGTCTCATATGTTCAAGCTATGCCTGGTATGACAGTCTCCTTCTGCTTGTGATTCAAGATGTAGTACTCTCAGCTCCTTCTCTAGCACCATGTCTGCCTGTACACCTCTATGTCCCACCATGATGATAATGGACTAAACCTCTGAAACTGTAAGCTAGCCCCGATCATATGTTTTCCTTTATAAAAGGTGTTGTACTCATGGTGTCTCTTCACAGCAACAGAAATTCTAATATAGAAGTTGGTGCCAGGACTGGGATATTACTGCAACAGTCCTACCTACGCTTATGTTTGGAGGAGTGCAGACTTTGAGATTTTGGGTTAGGAAAGCAGTGGAATGTTCTAAGCATTAATGGGTCATCCTAGTAGGAACATGGAAGGCAGGAGTGCTGGGGGTGATTTCAACTGTGGGGGCACAGCTAAGGAGGTTTCAAAGAAGAACATTAACATGTGATGTTTTGGCATAGAATGTGGCTACTTTTTGTCCTTGTCTGAAAAATCTAAGGCTAAAGTGAAGAGTTTTGAATTAATTCCAATGGTACTGGAAATCTCAAAACAGCCTAGCATTGACTCTGTTGTATGGTTATTAGTGGTCACTCTTATACAAATCACGCCTTTAATCCCAGCACTTAGGAGGTAGAGGCAGGCAGATCTCTGTAAGTTTGAGGCCAGCCTGGGTCTACAGAGGGAGTTCCAGACCAGGCTCCAAAGCTACAGGGAAACCGTGTCTCAAAAAAAAAAAAAAAAACCCAAACCCAAAACCAAACAAAACCAAAACCAACCAAACTTAAAAAAAAAAAAAAAGAAAGAAAGAAACTAGCTGAGCAGAGAAAGTTACATAATGTACAATTTGAGAGAAAATGGAAAAGTGGAATGGGCTAAGTCCTGTGTTCGAGGAGATAAAAAGATTCAAGAAAAGCCTGATATTAAAAGGAATAAAGAGAGTGGTGGCCTCAGACAAGACCCCCCCCCCAGCTAAGCTTCCAACTTGTGAAAGGTAATTAAAGTAATTAAAGAACAGTTTAGGTCCAAGCATGGAGGCCCACACCTTTAGTCCCAGCATTGAGGAAACAGAGACAGGCAAATCTATGAGGTCAAGGCCAAGACAGCGAAGTTTAGGCAATGAAGGAAATCATGGACAACTGATTTAAGATGTAACTGAATGAAGGGATCATGTTCCAGCCCTAACCAGCAGTAAAACTTGGCAGCTTCAGCCATGTGATTTTGACATCAGAGTCAAGGATAGAAGAAAAGGGTAATGGAATCACCCTCCATGACTAAAGAAAGCTGCTGAGGCCAGTCATGTGTCCCTGCATGGAGGCCTATAGAGGCCATTGTGTGAAGCTGTGAAGGTGAAGTCTGGATTGTCTTAGAGACCCCAAGGTACTAGAGATGCCAGGGCCATGGAATACCTGCCACAGAAAGCTGCTAACAGGGAGCAGACCAGCCCAAGAGGGAGAAGTGTGCTGTAGTCAACAAAACTGAAAGAAGTTGGAGATCTGAAATAAGAAATATTTTCTCAAAAACAAGGCAGGAGGAGAAAATGAACTCACCTCAAAGTGTGCCCTCACCTGAATAAAATGCCCCTCCAAATTGCTAGAAGTCTACTAAGTTTTACAACAAGCACATACACAGTGAACCCACGAGAGAACACACAACAGTGACAGAAGACACTCACAGAAGACATTAGATACTAGGAGCCATAGGATAGAAGGATCTCACCATTCAACAAGAGGTAGACTGAAAAAGAGAGGTCTTAGGTACTTCTGGCTCTTACCATGTTCCTTCTAGCAAGGCTATAATATATATATTATACATGCCCACATATTTTCCAATATTTAATCATATTTCATAAAATCTTATTAATTTCATATCCACTAAATAATAAGTACTTCACAAATAAATCTATTTGATATTCTGTCCAACATCAAGTATAAATTCTGAGTTTAATTGTGTAGAATATTCATAAAGAAATTAAAAAAACAGGGGGTTGGAGAGATGGCTCAATACTTAAGAGCACTGCCTGCTCCTCCAAAGGACTCAGGTTCAATTCCCAGTACCCACATGGTGACCCACAGCTGTCTGTAACTCCAATTCTAGGGGATCTGATACCATCATACAGACATACATGCAGGCAAGACACCAATGCACTAAAAATGAATAAAATTTTAAAAAGAAACAGGAAAAAACTCTTCATGAATATTTGGCAACAATAAGATGCAAATTTTATATAAGATCACAGTTATTTTAAAATCTGGGGCCTAATGTTAAGAACCTTAGTATGGCCAGGGATAATATAATATTAGTTAAATAAAACCATCAAAAGGAGTCTCCAACAAGAATCTTCAATTAACACAGCTTCTAACCTCCAAATTTAACATTAGAATACATGGAAAAGAATAAACTATAAATCAAGAAATACTTTGGTTTTAAAAGGATAAGGAAATATTTGTTCTGTCTACATACAGATCAGAACTGAGTTTGCGATCTGAGATATACATCTTACACAGTGACTTTAAGATCTGCATTTTATTAGGCACATGTATTTCTCATTTTATCCCCATGTACATTTAATTCACATACCATCTGTAATTACTTTATTGAATATTCCTTGTGGAGGACAAAAACTATTTGTACTTCTGTTCACCTGTTGTTTCATTTCCTTCGTTTCCTCATGTGAAATATCAGAAGGATCACTGAGAATCTGAAGTAAAACAACAACTCTTTAACAACTGTACTCTTCATAATTTTTTTTTTTTTTTTTTTGAGACAGGGTTTCTCTGTGGTTTTGGAGCCTGTCCTGGAACTAGCTCTGTAGACCAGGCTGGTCTCGAACTCACAGAGATCCGCCTGCCTCTGCCTCCCAAGTGCTGGGATTAAAGGCATGCGCCACCACCGCCCGGCTACTCTCCATAATTTTATGAATGTAAGCAATCCCTACATTTCAAAACTAAATTCATGGGGAACACATATCACACTCTTCAGAAATAGGGGATGTAACAGCAGACTATTTTGAAAGAAACCATGACTCCTATGCTAATACGGTTGCCCCTCCACCATCAGTATCGCTATCTATATACTGAACAAGTGAGTCTCTAGTGCAGGCTCCACAACTGAACCTGTCCACCCTTTTTTTAGCTCCCTCAGATTAATCCCCACAACTTTCCTGAAATGAAAATAACTAAATTGCAAAGTTAAATATGAAAAATAATTTTAAAAATGAGAAAAATCAGAGGCCACATCCTCAGAAATCGAAGCTTGCTGCCACTAATATTTATACATAACATATTGTGATAATTTATGGTATATGCCATAAATTATAAGCATCTCATGATGTAAACAAACAGTTCCCACCACAAGCCCAGAGTTAACCTTGGAATAGTGACCTCTGTGTTTACGGTATCACTGTCATGACGGACAAGTGGCAAGTGGGTGCACATGCATGCCACCCGAGTGTGCTGCTCACACTGAGTGCACTCCTGCAGAAGTGTATAAAGCTAGGCTGCATGGATAACCAAGGCCCAGAGGGTTAGAATGAACAGCTATGATGGAGCCAATGGTGCACCTGGCTGCTAAGTACACATTCTGCAGTTCTTTGAGACAAAGTTCTCAGATCTAATGACCAATCTGTTGTATTTGAGGATAGAGGTGTTTTCTGGAGTCTACATCACTGTAAGGAATGCTGAAAACACAGCAGCTGGCTTTTATTAGGGTTATGGAAAGTCACAAGTCACACACAGTAAATGAAAGCATCCTACATTTCAGAGTGTACAATAAATGGACAGATAAAGTCATGAGAAGTAAGGTGGGATGTTTATAATATTACACTGTACTTTCTAGCTTAAGAATTGTTGGAATCTCTATTGAAAAAATAGCAATTTATAATTCTAAATATAAACAATTATTTAGTAAAACTAGACTAACAAATGACTTAATGGCTTACGCTATATGCTTAGAAGACAACCCCTAGCCTCTGGTTTCTTCAAAATACACAACCTTTGTTGATTTCAATTGCTGAAATTTTCTGCCACACAGAAGGAAATAAGCCATATTTGCCTTATTCCTAAAACCTACCCAATCTAGGTCTAAAATAAACACTGCAGTAATTCCTTTCACCTGTCTCGTCCTCTCTGCTCATTTTTTAGAACCCATTAAAATTGAAACTACTTCAAAATTAAATTGTTTTCAGTTTTTATAAACATATCTAAGAGAAATCTATATAGAAGAACCAAACAGTGTTTTGCTCCATAGCCTGGGATTTCTCAGTGAACAGAAGACTCTGTTTCAGCAAGGGCAGTAGTCTGACAGATGGGTTTCCAGGCTTCAGTTGTCTCTGCTCCCAGGTGCTGGGATTGTAAGTACATGCACCATGCTTGGCTTTCCATGTGGGGCTCAGATCCTCAGGCTCTCCCAGTGAGCTGTCTCCCCAGAACTCTACATAGATTTAGACATCCTATATTACAATAGAGATTTAAGTTTTCACCTGAGTAATTGTAGCTGACTGAGAAACTTCTGGTTGGGAATGAGACACTTCTGGTTGGGAATGAGACACTTCTGGTTGGGAATGAGACACTTCTGGTTGGGAATGAGACACTTCTGGTTGGGAATGAGAAACTTCTGGTTGGGAATCATCATTCTTTATTTCTGATGCTGTGTTGCTCATGCTAATATTTAAAAAAATAATTTGAGAGAAAAGGCAAATCTATAAATCCATATGAAAACAAATTTGGTTAAGGAACATTAATACTTAAGTACTAAAATTTTATCATAGTCTAGTCAGACATCTTTACAGAAAAAAAAAATCTAAATACTCACATGAGGCCAGTGAGATGTCTCAGCTGCCAAGTCTGATGACCTGAGTTCAATTCCTAGGCATCGCATGGTAGAAGGAAAGAACTGATTTCCACAAGTTACTTCCTATGTGTGCTCTCTCTCTCTCTCTTAAAACTTTAAATATTCTCTTAAAGGTTATTAATCAAAGCCACAAACTCAAGCTTAAATTTTTTTATTATGTTTATTTATCCATGTGTGTGTGGAGATCAGAGGATCATTTGCTGAAGTCAGTTTTCTTATGTGTGGATCCCAGGGGATGGGCTCAGGTCATTCTGTTTGATGAAAAATGCCTCTACTTGCTAACCCATTTCATTGGCTCAAAGTGCCCAAGTTGACATGGAGAAATACATTATTTCTCACCAATTTCATAATAATGGGCAATATATTAAAAGCATGTGGGAGATAATCAGTTCTTTATTTCAATCGCTAACTAGTCTGTTTCACAACTCTGTGAGACTTCAAGGAAATTAAAACATTGGTAGTCTACAAAGTCCAGCTCTCAAGGCGACTCCCACGGTTCAAAGAAAAGCTCCACAGCATAGTGAAACTGAGCTTAAGGGTTTTGATCTGAGCGGTGTGGAATAAACCCACACACATGCTGTTCTGGTCATGCTCTTTATTGTTCTGCCTATTCTTCTGTCCTCTAATCCTCAGCTTCAATTCTCCCTTGCTTCTTTGTTCACCTACCTTAAATATATGTTTTTTCATAAGGCTTGAGGCAAGAAGACAAAGGGCTACAAGAGTTACAATTCACAGTCAAAGTGCATTCCTTTTGATAAGGGATAAGAGCAGAGTCATTTACCATGGTAAGACATAGTCGGGGACACGGTGCTTGGCACCTTCCCAGGCAGTGGAAATGAAAATGTCTCAACCCTAAAAATGGATTCTCTTATCCTGTTTGCAACCCCAGAACATAAAAGAAGGCGGGGGGACCTTGTAACTTTTGGTTGTAAGGCCAGACTAACTTTTGTAGCCACACAGCCTAGGGAAATTGCTGGGAACTCTGCTTTGGGGGCTGCAAGAGCCACACAGAGTCATTAGCAAACTTGCTGCCATAGGATTCTTGACAATGACGATACCTTAGGAACCTCCAACAAAGCTCCACTATTGCATCCACCTGGGATCAAAGCCAGTGTCACCTATACACATAAACAGTCTTCAGGGGGAAAGTCTCTCTAGGAAACTGTGAGAAGTAGCAGATTAGTCATATATGCAAAAATCAGCCTATAGATATATAAATCATGAAAAACTAGGGCAGCACACATCTCCAAAGGTAGTAAAAAGGCCAAAGTAAAGGAAGATGAGAGAGTATCAAAAGACTTCAAAACAATTCCAGGAAAATTCAATACACAAAAGAATACATAGTGTCAATCCTAAAAAAAAAGAGAAAACAATTTATCACATGAAAAAGAAATTCAGTAAAGAGGGACCACAAAAAGTACCAAGTAATTAATCTTGGATCTGAAATACTCAATACATGAAATGAAAAAAAAAAAAAAAACGCAGTTAAGAAATTAATGTAGTTTTCAAAAGAAGAAACACAAAGGGCCAAAAATAATTTTAAAAAGTGTTCAACATCCCTAACAATCAGGAAGTGTAAATTAAAATGACTTTGAGATACCAACCCACCCCAGTCAGAATGGCTAGCATCAAGACATCTGATGACAAAATTTGGAGAGGATAGAAAGAGGAGCCCTAATTAGCCATTGCGGTACAGATGAATGGACAGTGAATTGTGATACACAGACCAAAAAGAATACCCTTTGGGTCCAAAACAAATGACATCTACTGGAAAATGAATGGCCTTGGAAATTATAATATTAAACAAGGCACCCCCCCCCAAAAAAAAAGAAAGAAAGAAGAGCCACATGGTCTCCCTATGCAGATTCTAGCCTTTAATATATACATGTACATATGCAAACATCTGTCAGCATGAATGTAGCATAACATTTAGAAAGGAAAGCAAGAAGGACAGAATATAGGAAAAGAAGCATGTGAGTCATGAGCGATGGAATATGGAAAAGAAAACATAAATTGTCAGAGAGGACATAAGCTAATTGTTTTTCTAGTTTCAATTATGTCAAATCGTCCTTCCCCCTTTGTAGTAGATACATGAAGAAAAATGTCATTGATAGTAAAAGTGTAAAAGGTCCAAAAAACTCCATGGCTTCAGAATGGCTGTTGTAACTGTTTACGAGTTGAATAAAATGTATAGAGTTTGGGACTAGGCATGTATTTGAGTGGCTACCTTAATATAGTTGTGTGAAACTTTCACTTCTGAGTTCATTACAATAAAAAGATTTTATTTTTTAAAAAAGATTCACAATAACAAATTAGGTGTCAAGTAGTAGAAAGGATTTATGAACCTGATGCGATTCTTGTGAGATCAATTAAATTAAAAAAAAAATCAGGGCATGGTGGGACACATCTCTAATTCCAGCAATTGGGAGGCAGAGGCCGGTGGATCTCTCTGTTTGAGGCCAGCCTAGACTACAGAGCAAGTTTCAGAACATCTAGAGCTACACAGAGAGAACCTTTCATAGAAAAACAAGACAAAACAAACAAACAAACAAAAAAAACAAAGTTAACAATGAAGTCAGCACCATCACCAAACAAATATTTGTATACTTAACTTATGGATGTTTCAGAAGAGGGAAAGCACAGAAAAAGTATAAAATGAGATGCAGAAACAAAACTTGAGAAAGATATTATGAGTGCTTGGACCAAAGAATTTCAAAGAATTCCAAACAGATTTGATCAAAAAGGTCCTTTTTGGGATAATTCAAAAAAAAAAAAAAAAAAAAAAAAAGACCAAGGACCAAGAAACCATTCTAAAAATAGAAAATCAGTAGCACACATATGTTGTGAGACAATGCTCTTGTACAATGTAAGGATTTGCTAATTGTATTAGTTTAATAAAATGCTGACAGGCTTGTTGCCAGGCAGGAAGTATAGGCAAGGAGACCAGATTAAGAGAATTCCAGGAAGAGGAAAGGCAGAGAGTCAGTTACTGCCAAAGGAAGAAGTATGAGAATGCTGCACCAAGAAAAGGACCAAGCCACGTAGCTAAACATAGGCAAGAATTATGGGTTAAGTTATAAGAGCTAGTTATAATAAGCCTGAGCTAAATAGGACAAACAAGTTTATAATTAATATAAGTCTCTGTGTGTTTCTTTGGAACTAAATGGCTGTGGGACTGGATGGGACAGAAACTAGCATCTACACATATAAGGGAATCCCTTAGACACAAAGTAGATTTCTCAATAGAATTTTACAGGCCAAGAGAATAAGGTGACATATTCACATTGCTAAAAGAAAAAAAGTGCCAAGATGGGTGTGACGGACATCTGCTGTTCCAGCACTTAGAAGGTTGAGACAGGAGGGTCACATGTTTGAGAAGCCTGTACTATAACAAGACCTTGTTTCAAAAAGAGCAAAGACTGCCAACTAAGAATAATTATAATCAGCCAGACTTCCAGAAGTTAAGTATTTCTACAACAAGCAAAAACTCAGGAAACTCATTACTGATGTGGGATTCTCCTCTGTATGCTGTGAATATGTTTTATTACCATTGGTTAATAAAGAACTATTTCGGCCTATGACAGGGCAGAATATAGCTAGGCGAAAAAACTAAACTGAATGCAGGGAGAAGGAAGGTAGAGTCAGTCAGATGACATATAGCTGCTGAAGGAGAAAGATGTCCTAAACTTACCAGTAAACCACAGCCTTGTGGCAAAACAGAGACTAACAGAAATGGGTTAATTTCTATTAGATGTGAGAACTAGCTAGAAATATGCGTGAGCCACCAGCCCAACAGTGTTGTAATTAATATAGTTTTTGTTTGATTATTAGGGTCTGGGTAGCCGGGAAACAAAAAAGCAGTCTCCATTTACGCATTATCACAAGACAGGCATGACTTACACTCCCTATATCCCAAGAGCTTAAGGGATCCTACATACAGAAATAAACAATAACATACCACAATTAAAACACATAAAAGTATAAAATGCACTAGTAAAGCAGATACACAAAAGAGAAAATTCCCAAATGTTATCAAAACAGAATACAACCAAAGATAGACAACAGGAGGTAAAGGATATATAAAACAATCAGAGAAAAAAATTAATGATAGAAGCAAGTCTTTACCTATTGATAATAATTAAATAAATTAAATTTCTAGGTTAAAAGTTTTGTGCTCAGGCCGGGCGGTGGTGGCG